AAAAAAAAAAGAAATCATGATGATGTGTTATTAGGAATCCCACGTGACTAGCATCGGATTCCTAAATGTGTCTGTGATCTTTGTCTTTCTGCATATGATACTTTGGAGAGGAAATGCTTGGTGTGTGTACAAGTACCAGGAGACCAGCTTACACAATCCATCAAATACTTCTGCTCCTCATAGCCAAGGAGGTATTCCACCTCCTGCAGGAATGTAATTAAAGGGAGAAACACACTGAATGAAATATATTTCTATATCATGTTGTCACCATCTTGAGGAACATTCTTTGTTTCTAATAAAAGTAATGGCTTTGTTTTGCAAGCCACACAATGACATATTACCTCACACCCATTAGAATGGCTACTGTAAAACAAAAACAGAATAACAAGCGTGGACAAGAATGTGAAGAAATTGAAACCATTGTGCAGTTAGAGGGAATGTGAAATGGTCCAGCCACTGTGGAAAACAGTGTCTTCATCTGTTTTCTATTGCTATAACTGAATACCTGAGACTGGGTACATTATGAAGAAAAGAATTTGTTTCTTACAGTTCTGGAGGCTGGGAAGTCCTAGGTCAAGGGGCTGCATCTGCTCTGCCTCTGGGGAGGGCCTCATGTTACATAATAACATGAGGCATCATGGGAGAAAGGGGTGCACTGAGAGCCAAACTACCTTTAATAACAAACCAGGTCAGGCACAGTGGCTCATGCCTGTAATCCCAGCACATTTGCTTGCTAGTTCACTTTTTCTGAAAAACAAAACAAAAAACCCCAAACTCTGATAAATCTAAAGTCCCCCCATTTTCCCTTGTATAGGTAACCACTGTCTCAAGTTAGTGTAGAGCCTTCTTGACGATATATATACACATACATACATACACATTTACTACATAGCCATATAGCGATATATACAATACCATATCGATGATATGTATATTTCATACATATATAAAATATGGGGGCCAAGGAAGCGATCCTCCTGCCTCAGCCTCCCAAGTAGCTGAAATTACAGGCATGAGCCAGCACTGCTGGCTAATTTTTGCTTTTTTAGAAGAGAGGTGGTTTCACCATGTTGGCCAGGCTGGTCTCAAACTCCTGGGCTCAAGAGATCCATGTGCCTCAGCTTCCAAAAATGCTGGGATTACATACATACATATAACACATATATTAACAATATATGTACATATGTACTATCATACTGTGTAAATCTCTTTCGGATTTGCTTTTTCACTCATTTTTTAGATTTACCCATGTTGGTACATTATAGATCTTGTTCATTAATTTTAAATGCTCTATAGTTTCCCAATGAATAAACCTGTTTATTTGTTCCCTTACTAATGGACTGCTGGTCGTTTCCATTTTTATTGTTACACACAGCACTGCAGTGAAAATTCTTGTACCGATGTGTGGGTGTGTTATTCTTTTGAGACAGAGTATTGCTCTGTCACCCAGGCTGGAGTGCAGTGGCATAATCACAGCTCACTGAAGCCTCAACTTCCCAGGTTCAAGCAATCCTCCCACCTAAGCCTCCCAAATAGCTGAGACTACACGCTGGTGCCACCGCACCTGGCTGAATTTTTTTTTTTTTTTTTTTTATAGAGACAGGGTGTCTTGCCATGTTGCCCAGGCTGGTCTCAAACGATCCACCCGCCTCAGCCTCCCAAAGTGCTGGGGTTACACGCATGAGCCACCGCGCCCACCTGTTTTCCTAGGCATATGGTTGCTAGGTCACAGTGCATGCACATCTTTGGCTTTTACCAGCTATTGCCAAATTCTCTAAAGCTGATCTGAAACCAGTGGCGTGACAGCACCGCCCCCGGCGTGCGCACACCCGGCTAGGCTGTGACAGGGCCGGGGCTCGGCCCCAAACCCAATCTGAGATCAGGGAGCGGGCAGAGGCCAGGCAGTGGAAGCAGACACCTGCAAAGACAAGCGGGGCACCTTCCTGGGTTCCGAAAAATGCAGAGGCCTAGGTCCACAGCCCAGATTTGGGCGGCTGCAGCCACTCCCGAGAGAGTGAGGTTGCTGACCGCTCTCGGCTCCCGCAGGCTCCGTGGAGCATGAAGCCAGGGCCGCACCCTCGCAGTCTGGGGCGAGGGCTCCAGGTCCTCGCCGGGCCCGGGCCCTGTCCGGGACAGGGGCGACGTCTCTGCGAGCTACACCCGCGGCCCCGGCGCTCAGGGACGGCACGGAGCTCCCCAGCGCTTGGCTCGCGGCATGGCCCGGGGCGGGCCGCCTCTGGGAGCGGATCCTGGGTCGGGGCCCCGCCATCTGGAGTGTCAGGCCCGCAGTCACCCGTCACCCGGGTGCGCCGCAGACCCGGGAGACTCGGCGCCTGGCGGCCCTGCCTAGAGCCTCCTCCCGAGGCTCAGGAACCCCGCACCGTCGACCCAGCGGGCGCTGCTTTCCCTTCCCGCGCTGGGCCCCCGAAGCGCGGCCCCAGCTCCGCCTCCTCCCCGCGGCCTCCCCGCAGCAGCAGCTGGCGACAGCGGCAACGCGGGGTCAAGAGTCTGGTATCCCGGAGGCTCGGGCCTGGGGGCAAGTCCTGCCCGGCCACACGAGGGTGAGGGCGGCGCAATCGGCTGCCTCGGGGACACGGGCATAGAGGAC